GATCGTAGTTTCACTTTGAAATTATGAATGAATCATAGTTAGGCCATCATTAGGAACCTAGGCGCACTGGACGGCCCTTTCGTTCTGGTATGGAAATCACCAGCAGCCTGAATCCATGACTCCTGCAACTGGTAACATTCGAACCCAGGACCTTCGGTCTTGCGTGCAAACGCTTAACCTGTGGATGCGCATTAGTGGTTAGTCCCATATCAAGACAAAACAGCCGTCCACTACTTCCAGGTTTCTAATGGTGTTTTAACTATAATTCATTCATGATTTCAAGGCATTGTTATTGTTTTTTAAGAGATGGAAAACAGAATTAGTATGATGGTGAAATGTTTTTAAGTAAATTATTTTACACTTGACTTTCTTGTTTCAAATTCCCGTTAGCGATTATATTCTTATATAGTTAAGTTTTACGGCTTTGTGTATTATGTTATGAATCTTCATGGATTTGAACATCTTGCGAAGTGTTACTTAGTTAACAGGTGTTTTTTTATCAAGGCTTATTGAACAGTGATAAGTTGTTGTGAGGAATCGTTGTAACTTCCGAATTCCGAGCCTTTCATGCCACATAATAGCTTAATCTACAGAATTCATTGTGTAAAGTGGATTTGACATGATAAAATTAGTGGTTAATCAGTGATCATTGAGAACGAATATATATGTAACTTTTATTTCGTTTAACAAAAAAGTTTTAGTACCAAAAATCAAATGTTATTAAAAGCAGTTGCAATATTTTAGCTATTAAAAATATATGAAACAAACAATAATTCTGTATTAAAACTACATAAATCATGAGTGTAGGTTTTCAAAACTGAATTTTCAAAGAATATTGAAATTCCGCTATACTGTCTTATCATTTTACACATTGAAATTTGAAGCTACTCTTGTGATTTGTCGTGTCGTGAATGGTTCCAATCATAATTGTTCTCAGCTGAGACCATTTTACAGAAACACTGATAAAAATTTATTATGGTAAGTATAAAGAGTAGCTGGTGTTTAAACGAAACATTTATAATTTAATCATTACAAAACTGAATCACTGAAAGTTCAACATAAAAAAATGTCTGCATACGAATGAATTACTTATCAAATATAATCAGTGCTTATGAAACGATAGCTTCATTAAGATAACGTTATACTTAGGGATTAGTTGTATCCCATCATGACTGTTTCATGTTGTAATACAGCTTCATATCTCAAAATTAAGCTTGATGAAATGTAAACGTAAATATTTAAAGACTTAAATATCGTTTGTCCTATTAATCTTCACTAAGAAAGTTTTATTTTCGAGAGGAAATTCAATTAAATTTTGAGTAGTTTTGAGTGGTAAGCAAGACCAATTATTTTCTAGAATGGAAAATAACACTTGAAAAGTTTTAAAATCTGGAGAAATTCGACAAATTTAATTATGATTTTTAAAATATAGACAACAAAATGATTCACTGTGAATAGTTATGATAATAAGTGTTTATGGACGTTGTTTCGCAATCGGAATTATGTTAAAAATAACACAGCTAAATTAGCTATCAAAATTATACAAAACAATCAATCTATAGATGTGTTTAATTTCAGTTCAAAACTTTTCTTCAGTGTACACCAACAACCTTAAATGGAACTAAAATCAAGATCTTATAGTTAGCTCTATTACTAGTACGATGTTGTACTAGAGCACTGTTCAGTTCCAATATAGTTCACTGGATTTGGAATCGCGTAATACTGAAAAATGAGTAAGATTATTAAATTAATCATATTACAAATGTCAAGTTAGTAACGTTTGAATTTTGAAATTTGAATTTCATGAAATGTTATTATTTATCATTTCTTTATTAGTCAATTTAAAGAGAACAATGCATTAAAACCTGTAACTTAGTTAGACTAGCGAATAAAAATCTCTTGCGAAAGAAAGCATCTAGTCTGAAGCAGAACCATGCAAGTTTCTACCAATCGTTATATCTGTATCCCCTTAGGCACACATGTTTCCCAGGATCAGGACCATAAGTAAGCAACGAACTATTAGATGGAGTGCATCAACTTAATGCGTCAGTTTATTTTTCACTACACAGGATTGTTTCTGAAGATAAGTTTATGTTGATTTTGATACAATTTGTATTAAAGCGCCTTCGTGAAATTTTAGCTCACGCTCTATTACGATCAGGCTACACAAATAGCCTTATTATTTATTTCATGAATTTAATGATCACTTAGTTGATGTTTTGAATCTGTTAAAAAATGCAAAAGGCGTTTTACATGATACCAGGAGACTAATAACAGAAGCGTTTCATGTATTATTTTTTGATTAGAGCACATACTATCTGACCAACCTGTATAGTCTATAGAAATTACCTGTCTAAAAATATCTTTACACCTATACTGGAAATAGGGCTGCATTTCTACAGTTGAAAAATATATGGAACTCCAAACAACTTTCAACTAAAACCAAAATCAGGATTTTCAATACAAATGTCAAGACATTTCTACTGTATGGAGCGGAAACATGGAGAACTACCAAAGCCATCATCCAGAAGATTCAAGTGTTTATTAACAGCTGTCTACGCTAAATACTTCGGACTCGTTTACCAGACACCAAAAATAACTACTTACTGTGGTAGAGAACAACGAGATTCCAGTGGATGAGGAAATCAGGAAGAAGCGGTGGAAGTGGATAGGACACACACTACGAAAAGCACCTAACTGCGTCACGAGACAAGCCCTCACTCGGGACCCTCAAGGTAAAAGGAAAAGAGGAAGGCCAAGGAACACATTATGCCGAGAAATACAGAAAGATATGAGAAGAATGTACGACATTTGGAAGGTTTCTGGACAGAGTTGGTTGGAGAAAACTGGTGGGCAGCCTATGCTCCATTGGTGGTAACAGGCGTAAGTAAGTAAGTATACTGGAAATAATGTTCTGGAAATGATATATTCTGAAACAATATACTGGATGTTCTATTCACAATCACCTGATACTAATTCTAGTATGCACGAAACCGAAATCACATATTTATTTACTTTTAACAGAAATTACAGTAGCACAGTTCTAATGTTTTCAGCGATTAGCGATAATGCATTATCTTGCATAGACTTTTAAAGGTAACTCGAGAACAATTAATAGTCCAATAATGAAACATTTTATTAATTCTGATCACACTACGTCGTTAGAAATATTCTTTAAAATCATTTATTTGGTTATACGATTTGATTCGAAGAAAGTACAAACCAGTAATTTATGTACAACAGAGGTGTTATTAATCCATCATTTCAAACTTGATCACTACATGCTAAATCACAGGCAAAAGCTTTCAGTGTATCATGGTCCTTTTTATTGAATTTTTCATACACAATGAATTAGCTGTTAATTCGTTATTCTAACAAATTTTTGATTTTCTACTTATGCGTTAATTGTGATATTCATATATTTTGAATTTAATTTTTATCATTCTCATATGCATCAGATGGACAGTGATCTTTCATATATTTGGCCTCAAATTATCTTCTTTCTCTAATTTTTAAATCAGTCAGTACACAATCCTCTTTTTATATATTTGAAATCATATTCTCAGTTTTTGTAATGCTAAATTGACTACTTTTATTCAGTAATTAATGAGATTTATAAATGTATGGTTTGAGTAATTGATAAGACATGGAAAGAAATTTGTCGTTGCTGAATTGTTTTTTAAAAACGTGCAGTCATTCATTTCCTATTGTTTATTTACTGATTTTACGTTGTTGTAAATATATCATTTATATCTGTGATCTAATCAAACTGTATTATAAAATCAAACAATTAATCGATCACGTATTCTGGTGAAGCAGAAATTTGTCAATTAATTAATTATCCAGATAACAATTTACAGTTAACAACATCTTTACTCATAAACTGATTATGTTTTTGTTTTTTTACGCTTGAATTTTATAAGTCTGCATGATCCGTGAAGAGAGAAATGCTCCAGGGAGTTGACGTTTAATTTGATCTATTTATGATTATTGCAAAAGTTGTTCTCATAGATAAAAACATAAATTGTAAAACAAAAAAAGCTAGTAATTAATTAATTATTTCATTATTTTGTATCCTGTGACATAATTATTTTCAATCATATTCAATAATTTTCCCAAATGAATTCAGTTTTTATTGCTGATTATCGACATGGAATACAGAGCTATTTACTCAACAAATACTTTCTCATCATTTACTTATATCTAAACTTCTATTAAATATATATATATATATATATATATATATATATATATATATATATATATATATATAACATCTAAGGGAATAAAATTACTTGATGATCAGTCAAGTAGAATGGTATATATATATATATATGTATATATATATATATATATATATATATATATATATATGCAGAAAATACTGGGATACATACAGTTTCAGAAGGACAGACTTAAAACAACTTACACATGTGAGCATATTATGAATTTTTAGTGCTTCTGTATATAATTTTTGTACCTGTCTATTTATCGATCTACCTACCATCCTATTTACCAACCTATCGTATATGCAAACATATATATATATATATATATATATATATATATATATATATTTTGATGTCTGTTGGAAATCTTTGATCTCAGTTTGAACAGTGAACAATTATGGATTGAAAGCTTGATTCTGTTTTCTTGAAGTAAGAATAAGGTTGTTCATTCAAAGAGATGGAATTAAAAACACATGGAATATTATTTTTCGCAACATTGTTCAATTTCTCATGTTATCTTGGAATGTATAATTTATTTGAAAATTTGTATTTTTTTCAAACAGGCATCCATGTTTATCACTGTTTATTTTCAAGATGACACTACGATAATCGAAGTGAAATATATTTTTCTCTCAGATGTGTAAAACTAAATGAAAATTTCTTGAAAATAAATTCTCAACAAATGAACTTCAATAATTTTGTAACAAAAGAAAAGTGTTTGTTAGAACATTGTACTCATAATATAAATTGTTTTTCAAAGAATCATCAACAATGACATCAACTAGTGATTTCATAATTAATCAAGATCCTATACAAGATCATATACATGTACAGAATAAACGATTGGATACTGATCAAAAATTAAATCAGGATCCTAAATATGAAACAATTAATCAATTAGCTAAAGACACATTGAATATTGATTTGCCTGAATCACAAAATTCATCGAATCGTGCACTATTTGTCTTTTCAAAGAATAATCTCATTCGGAAAGCAGCACGAAGTATAATTGAATGGGGATATCCTTTTTATGGATTATGAATAATAATAATAATAATAATAAGGAGGTTTGAGTTAATAATGTTCGTTTTTGTAGAACTTAAGTTTTTCATGATTTCATGCTCACATAAATTGTTAAGTATATTGAAGTTGGCTGATTTATTTAGAAAACTATTTAAAACAAGTTAGTATTCAACGGCTATTTTATTCTATTACAAGGAACTTTAGTAGCATTCATTTTTTTTGAATTTCAAATAGACCTAAGTTTTCATCTTCTTATTTCACAATAAATGCCTAATGTTCAAACTACTGAGTTTATATTGAGTGGGTATTAAATGTCTAAACTGAAACAATTCGTGATATTGCCCAACTATCATTTACACTTAATGTGTCAGATTAACACCAGTTGAAACGTTCCAGTAAAAATCAAGGACCTATATCTTAAAAACAAGTCACCAGTGAGCACATGATTATTATTATTACTATTGTTAGAGGTTTGTGCATAGTGTTGATTTTTATTTTTATATTTAAAATTGTATAACATTTAGTTACGTCATTTAAATGTTTGTTTTCCATTAACGTATAAACATTAAAAATAGAAATCTCGTCAGTTTAGACATGGCTATTTATGTAATTCAAATTTATAGAAGTGTCAATCAGTATTTTATCCACTATCTTTTTTTCCTATTTACTATGCATTATATTTCATTTTTACTTAAGTTGGTGATAACTGAATGATTGATTGATGATTTCATTGTGTAAAAACAATAATCTCCATCACACTTAATGGAGGGAAACAATCGTTTAATGTGCTCACTAGTGACTAGCTTCGTGAGGAAATTCTCGTAGTTCTAGTGAGACGACTTGACCAGTAGAGTTCAATCCTGTCGGGTGTAGGCAGTAACTACCGAAGACAAATGGGTGAGGTCGCGCAAAATTTCTAGATCAATTAGAGTTAAACATTAACACCATTCGATGCCGGCCCAGTGGTTCAGAAGTTAGGGGTTCGTGCACAAGGCCGAAGGTCCTGGGTTCGAATCCCGCGAGGTACAGGAGTCATGGATGCGCACTGCTGATGAGTCCTATAACAGGACGAAGTGGCCGTCCAGTGCTTCTAGGTTTCTAATGGTAGTCTAACACTGATCGATTGGTGATTTATATGTGTAAAAACATTAACCTCCACAACTGTAATTGAAAAAAGATAAAAATTCTCTTTGTCAAATTTTGGTTGGATTTCATAGGTTTAATAAAAGCATAGGTCACCCGTTGGTCACGAGTTTCACTGAACAAGTTTTAAAAATATTTACCCATGCACTAAATTTACAACTACATTTAAGTCAATGATTTTTGATCCGAAGTCTTTTAATCTATAAAAAGAATTGTATTTAATTAATTCACAAACTGGTATCAGAAAACTATCTCTAAACCATTGATTCATGGATCTACAACTTCAGGTTACTAAATTCTGAATGTTTTTTTAGTGTCTAATTTAGAGACAGAACTGTTGAAATTCTAGTAGCTATACTATATATTTAGGGTATGTACTGATCAGCAGTTTGAAATGAAATTGATACCGTCTAATCCAATATAATGTAGTTTTTAACAAATATACGAACAGTTCTACTTTTTAGTATAATTAACTATTCACAATTCAAGTTCTGTTTGCATACTTGTTCAATTAATAAATAACCAGTTTATAAAACTGATTGTGACAGTCTTGTAGTATGGCTAATAGTTAAGTGATTTACTTTGTTTTAAAACACCAAATGATAAATACTTTCAATTTAATTTATTTTGATACTAGAAATAAAGCCATAAGATTACGTCATAAAAACGTTCTCTGAATGACTGTTCACCAATCACTTACTGATTTGAGTTAAAAATCAAGAGAGTACAAAAAACTATTTCATGTTAGTACGCGATTCATCAAATGTGATCCATGTCAGATTATGTCAGTGGATTGAACTCAGGTGTGATATAAACTCTCATGAGTAATTAAACAGTTTCTACAGACCTCTCAACCGAATAGAATATAAGTTTTATGATTAGGTGCGATGTCAGTGAATTCACTGTTCTATTATACTACTGCCATTTTTACTTTTTGCTTGTTTAATGAACTTGCTAATACTGTTTTAATTTAACTGGTTATTTTATCGGATTAATTTTTAAGTAGATTTCCAGAACAGTAATTTGGATGATTTTTTAATGGTCTCACTTTTTAACTCAATATGAAATGGATTAGATTAGATACCGTTGTTGATATTTTGATTAAAATTTAATCAGTCGTAGTTGATGTATGTGCATTCTGTGTGTAGCTAATGAGATAATGTGATAATTTTTAAATTATATTAAAATTCATACCCATTGCATAAGTGAGTGGCTATCTGAACTCACTAGTAACGTGATGTGCCTGAATTCGAATCAAGGAGTGGACACGAGATCTAAGATGCAAGTACACCCATCAGATAATTTCGAAATATGACGAAACCAGAGTCCTAGATTCCACTGCTAGTTACATTCCATCTTTACTAGTTGAGTTATTAATCTATACAAGATTAATTCAGTAATTATTATCCTTAATTTATTTATTGCTTTTATTCGTGTTATAAAAAAAGAATTTATTGTTCGTGCAAGAATTGATAAATTCAACTAAATATTTATTAAAACTAAAAACAGAATTTTAACTAACCAATTTAAGTCAGGAAAATCAATGATTTCCATCTGTTATGACTGTTTTTGGTCAATAGAAGTGATGGTGTTGGTTAGTTAAGGTTTAAAATAAGTCAGTCAGTCAGTCATCAGCTTAAGAAATATTAGTTATCAAATTGAAAATACCATCGAAAGTAAAGTAATCACTATTTCAAGTTACATCACATATTTAAGGAAATCTGTTCAAAGGTTATGTTTGTAAATCAACTAAAAAAGCCAGTCAATTTTCTTTTCAAAGAATGAATAGTTAGCTTACAATCATATATAACATGTCATTTGATATAGGCATGTATGACAAGTTACTTACTGGATACTCAATTTGTAAACTTTTTCAGAGGTACAGAAATAAAACTTAACTCATAACCGTATGATCGAAAAAGCCATCTACGAAGCTTTGATCCGTACGAATTATTCAACAACAAAATGAGATGACATAAACAGTAAATCGATTAAAGCTACTTAGATAATCGATTGACTTCTAGTTCAGTAACTTGATTATTCTTTGTGAGCTCAGTATGGAAGAAAGACTTAAAATCACGGCAACAAACAAGTTCAATCGACACTGGAGTGTGATTAAACGCTGTTTCAATCTTGTTAAATATTTGTACGTTAGTGAAGTTTATTATCATATGATCAAGAATAAATTCATTTTCCTCAATTATTGAATCAATATCAAATAAATTGGGTCGTTTTTCATATAAAATTATTTACATTTCATAGTGATGATGTAATGATACATATATGACGAAATTATACATATATATATATATATATATATAGACAGAGAGAGAGAGAGATTGAAAAGTGTTGTCTAAATTTCAGTCCAATAACAGAGTTTAATCGTAATTGATGAATTTCTGCCCAATTTTTATTAAAACGTCTTCTCAAAAAACACTAGTTTGGAATTTATTAGTCTAACGATTAGACTTGGCTTGAGTAAAAATGAAAGTTTTCATGATTGGAACTTGTTGGATGTTAACTCTGTAATTCAGTTATATATTGTATTTTTTTGATGAATTTGAAAAAGTCATTTAAAAATATTTGAGGAATTTTGGTCAAATTCAAAACTTTACGAAATAAATAAGCTTACCGATAGGAAGCATTTCCAAGGTGGAACAATATTAAACGATTGAAGGTGCAACGTATGATCAAAAACACCCAATTATTATCGATAAGGTAAATCAATCCATTAGTTTGATAAAACGCATCCTAACTAGTGCGCTCAATCATTCACTTAACACAACACTTTATCAACTAAAATTTTCACTACAAATACACTGAAAACCATATCGTTCAATTCTAAACTAATCTTATTAAAAATTACACTTGCAAGTACGATAGAAACATTTTCACACAATATCTGTTCGATTGTATCGAGATGAGTATTTGGCTTTCTGGTGTGTCATTCATGACAATTCGATTCCACCGTATTTCAGAATTTCCGACTACACTCTCAACGATTCGATTTGAGAAATATGTTAGTGATTCACTAATGAAACTGAATGTGGATTGCCTTATGATAAGGGAATTGAGATTTTATTCAGTGTTTAAATAATATTTTGCTTGTTTTACGTTCTGAATCAATAGTATATGTATTTTTATGAGTTTCTCCAGTGTGCTGTTGAAGAGCTGAAATTAATTTGATTGTTATTGTCTGGTACTATGTTATAACCGATACTAGCTGTTATCTTACATTAGGAATAAAAATAACAATTCTTCTCTCAGTTTCATGTATTTCAACGTATTTCATTGAAATGAAATTATACTATCATGATATGAAAATTTACTTAAATGTTTTTATGAAAGTATTTGTTACAGTTTAATGTTGATTTCTTAACACTTTTGCACCATTCATTAACTTTAGTTAGACAGTTATTGAAAATGAGGAAGCATCTGCGAATCCGCGAAGGATCAAATTATGGATTTTTAATCTTCACAAAGCTCCTAAACATCAAACAGCTAAGCTAACATTTAAACAACGAAAGAGACGAACTGTGTCCATGAAAAATGTTAAAAACAGTTCACGGACGAAAATTTTCTTTTTGACGATTTCATTTACTTAAGCTGTACAAACCACACTTAAAGTTAATTTATTTACCAAAAATAGTGATCTATGGTTCAATATAAGTGTCGGCGACATCTTGAAATGTTTTAACCTAGAAATGAAAAGCATTAAATATCAACTCTATATAGTTTAAGGAATAAGTTCTTACCTTGAGACGTGAATGTATAGATTTAGATTTCTGATGAAGTTGTGGAGGTTCATTGTTGAGACATTGTTTAATAGAATAAAATAGCGGTCCAGTACTAA